ACAAATTATATGCATTAGGTATTAGAGGGACATTTCTTGCATGGGGAACTTCTATATGAAGTCCAGGAAATTATATGTGACATGGGATGATACGAACTCTGTTACATTCAACGTAGACATTGGAGTTCTACAGGGCTCAGTTTTGTGACCTCTTATTTTGCTGATTCATATCAATGATTTACCTCAACATCTAAGTACAAAATCAATATCACTTTTGGCCGATGTTACTGCAGTCTTAGAAAGAGCTGATAGCCTTGCGGAACTACAGTCGAAACTGAACACAATAAGTCGCAAATTTACGAAATGGTGTCACACGAATTAACGTATAGGTAATGCCGACAAAACGATGTTCAATTCTTCAACCGAAGACTCTTAGAGCCTATACAGGTTGATATAAATAATGTCACTATCTATCCGTCGGAAACCACAAAATTTTTAGGACTTCATAGAGATTCTGGGTTGAGTTGGCAGGTTCACATAAATTGAGTTTGCAAGAGAATCAACACCAGTTTTTACGCATTGGTACAACTTGAAAAGGTTATGAATGAAGGGCATTTGTTGAACATTTTCTATGCGATGGTTTATTCAGTACTATCTTACAATGTGCTTTAGTGGGGAGAGGGGATTAACATCAGTCGGGCATTCATCTCTCAAAAAAGAATAATACGTATGTTGTATGGTATTCGACACACAGATTCCTGTAGACTCATTTTTAGGGAAAGAAAAATTTTAACGCTACCATCTATATACATTTATAATTATCTGCTTTTTGTAAAAAAGAGAGAGTCTGAGTTTGAAACTAATTCAAAGTGTCACAATTACCCAACAAAAAATGTAAATCTAATTAAACTGCAGCAATATCGTAAAGAGATTGTTTAAAATATCACCCTCTCTAGCAGGCTACAAGTTATTCAATTGTCTGCCTTCAAATAAAAAGGGTATCCCATTAATAAATCTAAAGAAATGAACTTCAATCGTTCAATAAGAAAGTTTTTCTCCCTTATTCAGATAAATCGGGCGAATTTCGGATATGCAGTTGGTTAGTACCTCGTCCACCAGATGGAGTGACATTTTGTTGTTCGCTCCAACTTAGGAAGAGGAATGAAATACTCTGAAAGAATTCCGATTTTCAATTATGGAATATCATTGACTTTAGGTCAATGATGGCCACTATCTTACACTGATGAGTGTCTAATGAGCCCAAAACCGGTCTGCCAGTGTGCCCGTTCCAGAATTTAAGGTCGACTCTTTCATTTGTATTTCCAATTGCATGTGCAGAAAATTTTCTGTGAAGATTCCTGCACTGACGCCTGTAGGATATAGTCCAATGCCCTTCGTGGTATTAGCCAGAGGAGTAGTTGTTTTCTGATAGACTTGAACGTTTGAAGTTCATTTCTTTAGATTTGTTTACTGCCAGTCTTCAAGCATAGCCCACTGACTGATAAGAAAGTATCCTATTGATGTTTGCTTTCAAACGGAAAGTTGAAGAATACCTTTCAGAGAGATGGTTTTATTCTATCAATGAGTATTTTGAGTATACTTCCAAATAATTGTGATCAATGTACTATAATCTCTAAGTTATTATACATCTAAATGTTTTTTTTTACTTACCTACTTACTTCCTATATCATTGTTGAATGATCATTTCAAAGGAATAAAAACATTATTATTATTATTATTACTGTTATCATTATTAAAATATCAAATACTCCCACAAATCCGTTGTTTACATTTCAAACATAATAATAATATTCGTCGTGGAGGTTTCAACACCCGGTAAGACGACCATCTTCCGAAAATAGGACGAAAGACGGATGGAATATCGACATTTTCTCTTCAAACTCTATTCTAGACTGTCTTTCACAACGTTAATCAATGTAAACCTCAAAAACACAACTCGTATTCTGTTTTAAAAAATATCTGTTTCAAATCTGTTTTTCTGTTAACCAACTGTCGTCCCCCTACGAACGACAACTCTCAAGTCGAAACTTGTGCAATCTAAGGATTAATGAGGTCTCACCTTTTAACGTGTGATCCCTAACACGAATTGAACGATAGGAGGGGACAATTGATCGTCCGGCTTTGCGGTTCGAACCACCAGTTGAAAGTTGACTATGTAAATGACTATAAAATCTAGACATTTGTGATTAGAGTATACAAATAGATTGTAAAAAATTATAAGCACAATCAACTCTGCGCAATAATTACCTAAAAATCATAAATGTGAATATGTTTAATTACACTTTGTAAGTTTTGTAGAAACTCTCATGTCCCTTCTTGAAATTCCTTCAGTTTTGACTGATCTCAAGACATCAGATCAAAAGGAATTATATGATCATATCAAATTTATCATAAATGGAAAATGTTAACAGCAATAAAATTTACAAGAAATGGAAATTTCAAGTTCAAATCATTCATCGATAGTGAAGACGAGCGATTGCATGAAAGAATGCAGCTTATTCAGGTTAATGATGAATGAAACCAGCTCAATAATTGAATATCATTCGTTAAATGCAAATTTGATTCTAATCATATAAACATTAGTCCAAGAAATTGGGTCTGAACTCCAGTAACGACCAAGGCATTGAGCAGCTTTTATTCCCAATCAAGAGGCGACTGTCATATAAACCTGGTCTAAAGAGTTCGTTTCAACCAATATGTTCTCTAGAATTTGGTAGATAAAAAGTGAGTTAATTCATAGAATTAATTCGTGGAACATGAAAGTTAAAGTGGGAGAGTAGTTTGGGACAGTCAATCAGATTATTCGCTAGTTTATAAATGAAAATTACAGAGTAGTAGGTTCTTCGGTTTTGGAGGGATAATAGATTAAATTTATTCAGTAGTATTCTGATGTCGATGCCTTGTTCAGGGTAAACTCCTTCTAGCTTGTAAGTAACGTATTTCATGAAGCCTCTTTGTATAGACTCGATTTTGTTTATGTGGACATTGTATACGGGTGACTTTATAAGGGAGGCATATTCCAGCTGAGATTTGACGTATGCATTGAAAAGAGTTAAAAACTGTCTCTGCTATGAAAATTCTTCTCGATAGATGAGCCCTAGCATCCGTTTGGCTGAGCATGTTATTGTGTCATAGTGAAAGGAGAAACTCAGTTTAGGGTCAAATGTGACACCAATATTATTTTCGGTACACCAAAGGTACAAAAAGTCATTATTTTTATATGAATTCGCTCTCATGCAACCTTGTTTCGAGTACGTTTTTTTTTTCATTTTCGCACTATTATCAACGACAATCCCATTTTTTAAAAACATTCTCCAAAAGTTTCCTATCTTACTGCAATAAATAATCCCCATTGCTGTAGCCATATCCAACGCAGTGCATCCAAGAGTGTAAACGCTTTTTAAGAATTACAATAATGACTGCAAATTATTACTTTCTATGCTATAATCTGCATGCACATTGATATATTTCTGCCTTTTTTTGCTAAACTTGACTTCTTGGAATTCCATCCGAACTCCACCGATCTGATTTCAGCAGAGGTCAATATATCGGGTAATAGACATGCAATGAAATATGATTACAATAATAATAATGATCATGTTCACGAGGAGTATTTATTTATTTACCACAAAGAAAGTGAACACCAGTTATAGCTCATTTTGACGAAACTACGTGAACAGAATATTAAAGCAATAGTCTCAACTGAGACAACAAGCTATAGATGAGTATATACACACATCGGAAAAGTCTAGGGATATTTTTAAAAATGGCAATCATTTTTTTTTTTGTTTGTTTAAGAAAATAGCCAAGTGATTGAAACTTTGCACTAGTCGTGTTGAAATTTTTATAGCAAATTTTTAATTTCTCTCTAAAAATGTCCGTATGAGTAAAAGTGCCGAAGTTAAACTTCATTGAAACTTTTAGAAAAAAAAGGTTTCCCATATGGTGCGCACTTTAATGGTGACACTGTATATATATTTATTTTCATTAAAGAAAGGAGCTATAGAGAGTGATTCTCTCGCGAAATACTCTAAGTATGCTAATGACTCCATAGAATTGGGTCACTTCCAAAACGACTCATTGTCTCGTCATGAAGACCTTTGTGTACTTCGATTTTAACAACAGTCACACCCTGTCTTGTGATTCAGCTCCACATAATGATTACCTCCAAGTAAGGCGAAAGTGAAAAGAGATTGCTGCGTAAAATGAACTCATAATGGAAGCCTCTGTGAAGGGTATCCTTGCATAAAATGATATAAAATGTACTTAAAACTATAAACTTGAGATGCCTCCATCGACCGCCGTGTACTGGCCTTTGTGTTTATCTGTAACAGAACCACTCCATAAATTCTAAGATTCCCAGTTATATCTTAATAACACGGTAATAAAACTGCAGAAATTATTATGTGAATATTGGCTTCGGTTGCTGTTTGGGATATTCGTGAAGCGATACGAGAAATATTTACCGCGGGTGTCTCAATCAAATCCACGAAGAATCGCAGTTGCAGTTATAGTCCAAGAAAACTAAAGAAAATACTAGTTCAACCTGGAGAAAGTTGTAGATTTTGGGGAAGAAATGTTTTGGCTTTCTACTTCTCCAGAGAAGTAACATTCAGACACAAACTGGAAGAAAAGCCCTCTTCAAACAGCTAGATTCACATAAACATCGGATTACACGAAAGGAAAAACCGGTGTGAACTTAGCAGCTAAAAGGTGGCGGCCAAAACCCTGAAAACACCCGAGCGCACGTACGCCGAAAAATAAGAAGAAATAAACATAAAAAGGTTGAAAATGAATAGTAGCTATATTATTGTCGCCAAAGGAACACCATGGGCAACTCTTCCAAATACGTCTACTAAAAAAGCAGAATAAAAAAAAATTATAAATAGGGGATGAGTACATTGGTGAGAAATTATCTATCACTGAAAATTTGTAGGTACTTATCCCCTATTTATATTTTTTTTTTCGAATCTGTTTTTTATAATTATAATAATAATGAATGGGCTTTATTCATTCATTCATCATATTGTCTAAATTAGCATATTGCGATATAATCTACGGGCCTGCTTTGATACAAACTGATGTCTTTCTTATAGTGTGAGAAAATTCGACCATATATCCCCCAAGTTCGAGGAGTCAAGTTGGTTACCGATTGCTAAAACCTGGCAGATCCACCTACTCGTCAATACACATAAATTCCTCATTTACAAAAAGCCAAATTATATTTATGAACGATATAAAACTTTCAAATAACAGAATAATTCGAGGACACGAAACCGTTACACTTTTATTATTCCAAAACACTCGACAGCCTGCTTTTCTCGTAGTTTCATTTACAACTCTATCAAACAATATAATGCTCTATCCAGTGAATTTAGACACTACTCCATATATTATTTCAAGAAAAAGTTGAAAACATATCTTCTTCTGGATAGATAATATATTCATGTTATTTATGCCTTGCTCATATGGTTTTCCCNATTTTTTTTTCACCGTAGTGTGCGCTGGTCAGGCCCTATCCCCCAAAGCCCCGATACATTCAAATCCAGATTGAACATTTGTAATTAAATCATTATTGTATACAAAAGAATCAATTTGATCTTTCAGAATCCACTCGAACACTTAAGATAGGATATGCAGTTTGCTAATTGGCCCCAAATGAGATAATTCAGTTGGATTTTCACCTTTTGGCAAAGGGAGTACAATTACATGTTTCCATGCAGAAGGAAAATGATTTGTTTCTATAGATGAATTGAATATGTGTGTTATATGTGTGATACGATAATTTTCAATATACTTCAACATAATGAGAGAAATGCTGTCAGTGGTGTCACTCTGCGAAAATTCAAGGTAGGTCCATTATAGGTCTGAGTATATCTTCCAATGAATGTTTCATGATAATCAGATTTTGCAGGATGAATAATGTTTGTGAAGTGGGAGTTTATTTGATTCAGATCTGATAAATCCGCGGGAAGGTTAGGGCTGTGTTTATTTTTCAAAATTTCAAGTTTTCTTAGAGACACATTTGGAAGAGTTGCCTATGGTGTTCGTTCAGCGACAATAATAGAGCTACTAGTAATTTTCAATCTTTTCAAAGTTTATTTCTTCCTATTAATTTTTTGACGTACGCTTATGTGCGCTCGGGTGATTTCGGGATTATGGCTGCCACCTTTTAGCTGCTTGGTTCACACCGGTAAAGAAAAATACATTCGAAACAAATACTTTTATATAAACACTGAATTATACAAAAACACTTCTTTCTATTCAGTTTGTATTCCAAACATTCGTTGTGGAGTTTAATCAGATATCATTCACAGGATTGCTACACAATATAGTAAATGAAAGAAATGAAATTTCACTTACATGGAACACTGTCATTCTCATTAGTGAACATCGGATGTTTCGTCGTGAGACACTTGCATTGTCGTCTCCTCAGCACCAAATCTGAATGGCATTACAAAAAAAGGCACTCAATTCATTCATATTACGACTTCATGTATGAAGGTGCATAACGGCTCTTCCAACAGGAACTTCCGAACTTTGACAGTCGATAAAGGTCATCTTGTCAAATTAGTGGTCATTTGTTCTGTCTGTTTTACCAAATCACCATAGATGGATATAACATCTAATAACACGTGCAAATAAAGATATTGTTTTATCAAAATGGGAATTCTGTTTGGGCAACGTACCGCGCGCTTCGCCCATTTTACGGTCACCATACTTGTCCTACCGAGAAAACGTCGCCATCGTAAATCAAACTAGATAAAAGTACAGATATCGAACTAAATACCATAAACTTTAAAAGAAATATAGGAAATATATAATATATTCATGAATGAAGACACAAACTACTATCCAATAATGAAGCAACTGCTCTTTCTACCTGTGTCAAAATTTTGTCCAGTATCTGTGACAGCTATAATTGGAAACACTGAGTTACTTTCACGAGATTGGTATATCGTCAATATATTATTCGAATCACTGTGACACTTATCATTATTGAACTTTTATATATACAAACTAGAAACTTTATGAAATATTACATTCATATTTCTAAAGTTGTCGCTGAGTTTAGCAAGTTGACATTATTTTTTCAGGTAATCATAATTACGATGAAATGTACAGGTTTTTGATCTATATCAAATAAACATACTTCATTTCATTTCCATTAAATTATCTTGACATTTCGTCTTGTTACTTGATTTCTAACGAAGCATTAAATTGAAATGTTTACTAATAATTCCTTTCAATTACGAATTAAAATAAACTAGTGAACTGGTTTCAATAACGATTGCTTTGCATGTAGAATTGAATGAAGTCAAATTGTTTTCTGTTCTTTTTTCTATGAATCCAGTGTTTTGAAATAAGTCAAAATTAGTACTGATTTCTTTCTAAAAACTAATTTCTTCAACTCAGAATCGAATCATACTGGAAAAGTTGAGGTTTAATAGTTTTTAAGGGNTTGGAGCCTATGTTCGAAGTCGATGAGACCTCAGCGGGTGCTGAGAAATGTGCTAAAGCCGGGAAAGTGGTACCAATTCAGGGTGGCTGCCGTGAATGAGAATGGAACTCGAGGATTCAGTAACAGTTCTTCACCATTCACAGTAACAACAAGTACGAAGTTTATCAGTATTCAATATATTTAGTGAGTTCACATTGGGTTAGAAATGTTTGTTTTGAGACTAACTCTTTTCCTGCTTTTTAACCTACCGCGAAAGCATAGGCAAATATGAATATGGGCCAAATTGTAGTTATGTTGATTGAGTAAGTATTTTTTTGAACTTCATACTGTATTTTTCGAATGTTTTATTCAAGATAATAGTTCACGTCATGTATAATTGTTTTTTTCAGGATAATGAAAATCTTTCCTGTGATAAAAGAATACAAAAACATCCTTCAATTAAAAGTATTGAGATAATCTAGGGTTTTCTAACAGGGACTTCCAAACTTTGACAATTGATAACGGACATCTTGTGAAACTACTTCTGAACTATTTGCAATGTGGTAGATGCATTTGAGTCCACTGGTTCAGTAAACAATCGACCAACACCCGTACGACCAACGCAAGATTTGCCGAAAACATCGCCACTGTCTGTGAGAGTGTGCAGAAGAATCCGAGGCAGTCAATTTCACGTCGTTCACAAGAACTCAGCCTTTCGAAGGCCACAACTTGGCGAATTTTGCGTGTAAATTCGACAAAATTTAAGTGACCGACGCCCACGAACTGAAGGTAAACAATGACTTGTGTTCGCTCATTTTCAGCGATGAGGCCCATTTCTGGATGAATGAGTTAGGTTAGGTTGGGTGAGGTCTAAAGTGAGTGGGTCTATTCGACCCTCCACCGCAACCCGCAAGGGTTTATTGTGGCTCACACCTACTTACACTCGACCAAATAAACCCAGCGTCTTAACGAAGCCGATTAGTTTGTATGGTGAGTGGTCCCTTAGGTCATATGGTAAGAGTACGGCTCTGCCAAACTCTAAAAACCTGATTCGGTCCCCAGCGGGGCAGGCACAAAGTATGTGCTCTGCTGTTTCATCATTATCCAAACAGAGGAGACACATACTGTCTTCCGACAGTCGGAGTCTCTTCATATGATGATTCAAACGACAGTGACCTGTAAGAAGGACTGTTAGATATCGAAGTGCATCCCTACTGTAGTCCAACAACTGTTTGGTATCAATCTTCGAAGGGTGAATAAACGCTTCAGAGCGAGCCAATCCTGGAAGATTGTGCCAGAAGTCAATAAATCTTCTTGCCATCCAGGTGTTTAATCTTGGTTTGGCAAAGCCTAAAGAAATGCCAATGACATCTTCTGGTCCGATAAAGCTGCTTGCAGCACCCTCCTTTGCAAGAGAGTCCAACAGCTTCGTTGCCTTCCAGGCCAGTATGGCCAGGAATCCAGACCAGAGACAATATGTCTCATGACAAGTCATTGTTTGATATGGATCTCGGGCTGGAAGCGTCATCGGTCCAGATTTCTTTGAGAACGACGTTGGCCAGGCCATCACTGTCAACGGCGAGTACTATAGGTCGATGATTACCAACTTCTTTTGGCTTGAATTTGAAGATCTGGACACCAACGACGTGTAGTTCCAACAGGACGGGGCACTACGTGTCACACAGCTCATGTCTCATTGGTTATTCTGCACGAGCGATTTGGATATATGATTATGTCATGTGGAGATCGGGCGAATTGACCCCGTTAAACTTTTTCCTGTGGGATTTTCTCAAGTCGCACGTGTATGCGAATAAACCACAAACCACAACGGTCCCCAATGCCAACATAACCCATGCCATCAGTTAAATTCAGCCTGATTAAAGTCTATCCAAATCCAAGATAAAGTAAAACAAAATCGAAGCGTGATGTTCACGTAATCGCCCAGTGTCAGATGGAAGGGCAGCGCTCATTGGTTAATTTGCCTTCTTGGTACGAGTTAGGTACCATCACAGGGTTGTAATCAGTCGTTTGCGTGTTTGTGTGGCGTGCTTTATAGTATATTGTTTAAAATTGTTTTCCAAGATGTCCAGTGCAGACACTGCTGATGACACTGTGAGCTATCCTCCAGCCAGAAAACGATCCACAAAAAGACATTTGAGTGTTGAGATGGAAGAAGTGATTTTAAATGTGTTCAAGAAAGAGATGGAAGAAATTGAGACATCAACTGTCGACGAAGTTGTATCGAAAGTTTCCGATAAAATTGGAGTGTGTTGCGCTTCGATTTACAATGTTTTACGGAAATATAAACAAAATCATACATTTTCCAAACCGAATACAAATCAGAATCGTCAAACCATTATATATACGACCCTGGCTAATTCTTGGGATTTTCAATATCACGTGCGTAGGGCATGTCAATGTTTACATCCACTCTATCTTGGATTTGAATTTGCTTTAGGTCTCTCAAAGAAATTAAAAATTTCGATCATATTTCACACACACTTGTTTCATGTTTCATTTGAATTAAAACATAGAAAGCGCTTGATGAAAGACCCTATGGTTATCTCATAGTGGATAATTATTTTTGAAGGAAGGATGAAAGTTTTTCGATTTCCAAAAAACCATTATATTTATGCGAAAAATAAAACTCAAAGTCGTCTCCACAATTTAATGTCACCTCCAGATGTTAGAGCGGTGAAACTATCAATCAGTACATGTTTCCAACCTATATAGGTTCATCATCAGCTATTGTACTGATTGATGGTTTTACCGCTCTACCATCTAAGGGTGACATTCAATTGTGGAGACGACTTTGAGTTTTTATTCTTCGCAAATCTACTGCACTCCACTTTGATATATAATGGACTTCTATCAGAGGTTCACATTATTTTTGGTTGCAGGTCCAAAGCCTCCAAAGTCACCAGAAAATGTTACAATCGGCCAACTGACAAGGGAAGATAGAAGTTTGAATGCGGAAATGAGATGGTCTCCTTCCGTCTCAGATATTCCGATACAAAAGTATATTGTTTTTTGGAGTAGAAGGCTCTTTGGATCCAAAGCTCTGGACTCTGTTCTGGTTCATCAGCAAGTGATACCCGGGGTGAGAAAAATTCAAACGTATTTTCAACCTCAGTTCATGCATACTTTCATCCCCATTCCATTTAGAGTGCCGAATGAAGTTGCTCCTTGTTCATTCCACCACATCAAACATGATTCAGAATCAACCTTAGGAACTCGCTGCCAAAGATAGCACATTTTCTACTCGAAGTGCTCTGAACAGTTATTTTCAACGAAATATCTCAAAATAACTGTTCACTTTTATTAAAAACAGATGAACTAAAGCATGTATTATAAAAATGAAACAATATAAATTCAAGTTAACAGGTACACAAATACATATTTCAATATAAATATCAAAAATATTGGTACAGGAGCATAAAGAAACTTTCCCTCAGTTAACGCAAAGGTGCGATTTTGTTTCATCCTCTTCATAAAAGAGGACGTAAGCTCCACTTACAAGCGATTTTGGTAGAATTAGTGACACCTGTGAATCGTTGTATTTGTGCCACGTGCCAGTATACAGTATGCTGTATAAAGCCCTCTGTAAGTAATCCCATTGTGATTTAAAAGTGCATATAGATTATAACAAGTAGGGTAGAATGGGGGAATGGTGGTCAGTGGGAAATGCCGGTCAGTTTAAGATATCCATCTTCCCGAAACATCTCATTAAAAATACCAGTGCTTCCATCTAGTATACCTGCAAGTAACCTTATATATATGGCGCAATCGTGCTGGCGCACCTATAGTGAGCGTGCCAGCCATTACTGTGTGTAGAGGTGTATTCTTGTTATAATTCGAAATTTTTAACCAAAGGTAAGTCATTTAATATATTATTCGAATAAAACAGCGTTAACCACCAACTATTGCATGCGTATTTATTAATACAATATCTCGGTTTTGATTTTGAAAGCGTATTTTATCATTTGTATTGTCAACTGAAACAAACTTTTGTAGTTTTGGGGTTATGCCAATCATTCGAAGCGGGTAATGGCGGTCAGTGACCGGTATTACCCTATACGAAAATATAGGACAAGTTTTTGACAAACTTTCATATATCTTTATCGCATATAATAATGTAAAAATAGTATCTCATAATTGCTTTTTGTGCGCAGATGCCCAGGAAGAGACCTAGAACNCACAAAAATTGTTCCGGTTGTGATTCCCCTGATAAATATGCATGTGATTATTGTGATAAAAAATGGAAGGTTATCAAGCGTCTTGATTTGTAATTTCTTATAATATGAACTGTAATAACTTAAATTAGTTTTGCAAACTTTGAATTGCCTACTTACTTTATAATACATTAGTACTCAATATTTTATTGTTTTATTTTAATTTAAAAGCAAACCTTAGAATAAACCTTATATTTTTTGACTGACTGGCATTACCCCCCCTGCTGACCGCCATTACCCGAAAGTCCGGGTAATGGCGGTCAATGAAAGCTTTACTAAAAGGCATAAAAATATAAAAAACTATACAAAGCTTTGTATTTGTATTTTATATACAGAAAGTGAAGTGAATTAGCTATTCAGTAAGTAAATCACTTTGGCCTTTGCTCATATAAGAAATGAGTTATTTCGATTCCTGCTTAAGTGACCGCCATTCCCCCATTCTACCCTAGCCTCATTTTCTGCTACAAAATTGTTCATATCCAATCCTTCTTGAGGAAAGTCGAAGACAACATTCAATTGCCTTCAAATCTTTCCGTTGGAGATAATCTTTTCAAACGAATTACTAAAATATTGGGAAACTCGTGGATTGATAAGGACATTGTGCATTTTCTCCTTTCACGAATTCCACAAAATATATTAGAACTGTACCCTGATTCCACGCATATTGTCTCATAAGTAAACTAGTGCAGGACGGTGCTATCGGTTTGCTATTGGTTTGACGGTATCACCTGTATGACAAATCCAATTTTTGAGATCCTTGAAATCTATTGAAGACACTTGGTATACAATTCATTTCAAATAACCCTATAAAGAAAAATCTAGTGGTGTTATATCAGGAAAAACTGCTGTTCGATGCATTTGACTTCCGTTTCCTATCCATCTCTGAGTATAGATGTTACTAATATGTTCGGTAATGATACACAAACTATGAAAAGGAGCACCATCATGTTTTCATATCAACTTCAGTTGTTCAGACAGGAGGGAAGTGCCTGGTTTGCTCATCGGTGTCCAACCACTGCCCTGAACATCTCCTGTTATCGTGGAGGATCCACTTTTCATCACATGTGACAATCTGATCTAAAAAAAGGATCGTTCTGGTTGCGCAAAAGCAAACAAGAACAGTTTTTGAGCTTTTTGACCTTTCCAATATGTTTCAAACCCTCAAAAATCACATGAAAGCTAACACTCAGTTCTTCAATATAAATTCCACCATCGTGCGCTATTTGCTATCATCTGATTTTGAAGTTTGAAGAAGATTTTGTTTTAGTCTTTATGAAATTCATTCTTCAAGCAAGTTATTTATATTAAGACCTGCCTCAATCTCAATATATAAAAAGTAACCCTCGTATTTGTTTTATTTACTTACATACTTCTTCATAATTTCAGGTAAAAGAAAACGGCTCATTATATGAGAACGGTTTTGTTGCTGAAGGGCTGTGGTGTTTCGAGTCGAAGAAAACGGTGAATCTTTCGAACAGTGGTTTTCCAAAGTTCTACCCCATCTGGAGGATAATGCTGTGATTGTAATGGATTGTAACGGTTACAGAAGATTCCCACAACGTCTTCAAAGAAGGTTGAAATCCAAAATTGGCTGCGATCAAAGAATATTAGCTTTGAAGACTCAATGCTAAGAGTACAGCTACTAAAAATTGTCAAGGAGCGCAAGCTTGAATACCAAAAATATATAGTCGATGAGATGGCAGCAGGCCAAAACAAAATTGTCCTTCGCCTGCCTCCATACCACTGCGAGCTCAATCCCATCGAGTTAATATGGGCGGATGTGAAGAATTTTGTAGCTCAGCATAACACCACGTTCAAATTTGCAGAT